TTCGGCGAGACGTGAATGCCGTGCTCTGTCTCCACGAAATGTAGCGTGCGTTAATCGCGAGCAGATGTTCCTCAGCTTTAACCCGCATTCTGCGTCGACCCGCTCATCTACCAGATGATATGTCCCCGTGGAGTAAAGTCGCGAATCGTAAAATAGCGCTTTCCGGCGAGAAACAAAAATGGAGCATCGCGATAAGAATCTAGACGCGAAGGCACAAACAATAGGAGCAGGGAATAACAAACCTCCCATATACCACAAATCTCTCAGGGACGTCCTGAAGATGTCCAAAAGAACCACATATATATATCTACCTATGATATCCCGATGATATTCTCAGAACATTCCTCGAATAAAGTGTGTGCCGTGTGAGTTCAATCTATCAATATTTGATGAAAATGGTTTCCATTAGGTTGCAATCTATTATTCCTTGCGCTCTTCCTTTCGTCTAAGGTCCTAATAGGGACGATACAGTTGTGGGGGTGCAAGTCTCAATGAGCTCGTCTCGCCGTGACGAATTCTCATGTCGCGTTATGAATTATCGCTTCTCGTGATACGGAAATTTATGCGATGACGACAACACCGTAACGACAGCATTGCAGTACTCACCATAGTAACGAGGGTGTCCGTTCGCCGACCGCCTTTCGCCGTCGAGCCAGCCCGTCCGATCGGCAACCGCGACAGTCACCACACTGTGGAGGAAAGCGCACTGCTAGGGGAACGCTACCGCTGCTGGTGCTGCTGGTGCTGCTGGTGCTGCTGCTGCTGCCGCTGCTGCTGCTGCTATCGCGGCGGCCACCGCTGCTGCTGTTGCTGGTGCATCCTGAAAAAGCGGGAGGGGGCAAATTCACCGACGTTCCATGCTGCGGCATGCGAAATTCGCGCATGTACCCTGGATGGCGCCGAGCCGTACCGCGCAGCCGGCTAGATATACGTAATCGCGTATATATACACACACACGCGTTATATACACACGCGCGCGCGCGCGCACACCCCGACATTTCGGCCGGCCCGTTCGCCGTCGCTGGCTGATCGAAAGAGCTGCTCCTGACCCTTCGTCCGCGTACGGACGCTCGTTACCTTAGCTCTTTAGTTCCGTATATATACGGGGGTGTTCCATTTAGAGCTCCACGGTTAATCTCCTCCCTGTGCATTACTGCAAATCCCGAAGCGACACGCTGACGCAATTAGAAAATTGTATTCTTGAAATCTCTACATGGAACAGGATTTTATCGCATATGATTTTCATAGTATCCAACAGATCTAGTATCAGGTCTAGTATTCCGTTTTCAGATTTACTATCTACCTAATCTACCTAAAAATTTAGCTAGATACTGATCTGATAATATTTTTATTGGATTACGAAAGTAATTATGTAGGACGCTTAAACTGGTTACTAAAATGTCCAAACTTTTTATAGCATTGCTTATCTTGTTTGGAACTCCTGCATAATTATTTTGATGGTCCGACAAAATTATTTCTAGATCTGTAGCTAGCTGAATTTTTAGACAGTTCATTGCAGTAAAAGCGTTCTTTCCATATATTACGAAATTATTCGACAAAAGAAGAAAATTAATTGTGCGATACAAGCATAAGGATGTTTACTTTCTGGATTGCTGAAAATTGATTTGTTGCGAGATCGGTTTGAGATTTTGTTGAAAAAGAAGCGATTTAAAAAATGGTTTTAAATAATTCTTCTTTTGTTTCAAAAAAATCCATTTTTCGCAGAAAGAATACAATAACTCTTTTCAGTTGGAAGATTCGAATTCCGATTTTTTTTCTTTTTTTTTTTAAGAGTCCAAATATCCTTTAGAAAGCTGCGTTTTGAAAGAATATGGAAGCATAAATGTTAGAATGAATGAATGTTGGAATCAGGATGGAAAGCTTCAAGATCGATTTATTCGTCATTAATCATTTCGCATAAAAGAAATAACGTCTCAATAATATAACAGATGAATGCAGTTCTCAATACATATATTTGTTGTTTCGTATATTGGTTTTCCGACCGATAGGTACATGACCGTCTAAATACAATTGAGTGTATTTTGCACGTAAATCAATACGTTAGTATTGCATCGCTGGTTAACGTAAGCAAAGTGTGCTTTAGGCGATTTGTAATTTGTTTCAGGTGTCAGTACAGAATTCTAGCATTCACTGTTTCATGTTATTTTATGTTATTTATTTTGCGATACATATTCGTATATTTTATAACGTGTACTCTATATATTTGTATATATTTATTAGCAGAAAAGTGCTTATATTCGCATACATAAATTATATTGTTTCATGAAAAGCATTTTTTATTCTCTTTTATTTTACTGCATCGTTATTAATCGGAAGAATTTATATTCTCCCTCAATATATCAGCATCGATCATTATGGACTTGTTTAAAAAGAACAACATAGTTTATTTTTAGAGCATTCTTCTTCCTGTAAAGGACAAGCTGGAGCGCTTCGTTCATAAAAGAATAAAGTTTACGAAAAAATATATGTAGCACAAACTATGTTCCTTATAATATGTATTTTAGATACTTTTTATATACATATATTTAAAAAGTTGTATTTTTATGTATGTACGTTGCATTATTATTCTTCATTTGCTACAACAATGACACGACTAAAAAAAAAAGAAAAAAAAAGTTTTCTAGAAAATAAGTTTTGAATTATTAAAATTTTGTAATATTAATTTTAAAATGCAATTTTGGTATAATAACTGATTGTAGAGGAAAAAATTATGTTCTTTTAAAGTATTCATTTTTTTTTCTTTATGTTCCCGTACATTTTTTGCAAGCAATTAAAAAATAATTTTTTAATTATTGTAACAAAATGAACAACAAAATGCTACCTGCATTGCGCGGTGTACAAAAGATTGTAAATAGAATTTTATTCTGGATTCCAATACGAATTATAAATTGACTGAATCAGAAGTCAGAATTCTAAGACATTCGGGAAAATACCAAGCGGACCGGCGTGCTGAATAAGGATCGTTGACGATCCTCTGGACCGTGTTTGTTCTAAGCGTCGTGTGGTCGAGAGAGATTGAGATTCGGTGAGGAGATTCCGATTCGAAATACCTTCGCTTCAATCTTCAATAAGCCGACTGAACGAGGCGCAACGCGGCCGCGTTTAGAAAGTTGCTTTGATCGGTCGAGCGTGCGCGAGCTCCGCGATTTTCGACGCTTATCAATGCGGCACGCATGTAGCAGCGAGGCGGATGCGACGATAACGGAGCTCAATTCATCGAGTGTTATCGCCATAACAGGAACGGAGATAATATCATTGCATTGAATTCATCTTTTGTATTCCGCGAGTCATATACATGCATATGTATATCTCCCGCCTATTCTTATGGAATATCGCGAATATGTTTCTTTATGCCCGTTTCTATCTAATGTAGATTAACTTTAATCTCTCTTCAATTTGTGAGGAACTCCGTGTTTCTACGTTATAATGTAAATTAACTAATATTAATTCAAAATTTACCTTTACTTTTTTATCTCTTTTTCTAATACTAAGAATTTCTTAATTCTAGGATTTCCGATTCTAAGATTAGAAATTCGAAGGATTAGAAAAAGACAAAGAATGAAGCTTTTTTTAATTACTGAGAACAGTAAGTTAACTAAAATTAAAATTAATTTTATGTTGAAGTAGAACCGGACCTAAGTAATTAATCTAGATAAGAGGATATCTCTTGTCTCTGATGTGTACACAGGATGTCCGCGCTTGTTTCCCATTTCTCTCAACATTTCAGTTCGCAATAGAAATTCTAATTCCGCGAGTTTTAGATTAAAGGGGCTCGTGATTTACTTTGAAGGCTTTGACATTCGAGTTTCGAAACTTCAAACATTCGAAGCTTTCGGCGTTAAAATCTTCGAAGATCGAAATTTCGAAACTTCGAAACTTCGATACTTCAATCTTTGAAGCTTCAGAGAGTTAAGATTATACAATTATTAATTTAATATAGTTAATAATAATGAATATATTTTCGTAAAAAGAGCATATTACATTAAAATCTTCGAAGATTAAAGTTTCGGAGATTTGAAACTTCGATACTTTAATCTTTGCAACTTCAAAGAGAATCAAAATAATTATTAATTTAATCTAATTAATAGTAATGAGAATATATTTTCATTAAAAAATATACAAACATATTTATGAATATATTTCCACTTTTTTTATTCGCACAAATATATTTCTTGAAGCTTTAAAATTATTGAAAGTTATTTAAGTTTTAACAGTCTTATTTTAGATTAGAGTAAAATTAGAGTTTAATTAAAATAGTTTAATTACAGTTTGTAAAACTTTAGATTAGACTTCGTAAAACGAATTACAGAGATATTCACAGTCGATTTTTATATTATTTAAGACTATCTTAAACACAATCTTAAAATGTTATAAGCTAGCATTCATAATCTATTCTTATATTTAAGATTATGCTTAAGACAGCCATAAATCTATAGTGAGCTGTCTTAAGTAGTATCTTAAAAGAGATTAGCTTAAAACGATTTTAAAATAGAACTATAAAAATCGACCACTTAACATCTTAAGAAGATTTAAGATAATTTTGAAATAAGACCAGACATGTCAGTGTTTATAATTAATTCCTATATTTAAGACTTATATAGACTGCATTCGCTTTGGCGCTCACGGCGCTTGCGAGCATCATTTTTCCTTGTTTAATATTTAAGAACAACAAGGATGAAACGACGCTTAAAGCGTTGTGAGCGTCAAAATGAACACAGCCATAGACTCTTAAGACGTCACGAATCAATCGGAGGGTCGTATTAGCATTTTAAGACATTACTCAACACAATCTTGAAATAAGAATGAATTATGAATACCGCCTTAACGAATATTAGTTTATTATTGCGATTAGTAAAATTGGCGGGAATCCCTTCGTTCGAACGGCGATGCCGGCGAAAATGGTGGCGACTGGTCAGCAACGATGATAGAATTTGCACATCTACGTATTGGATGAGCCCAGGGTGGAAGCGGCGGGGGCGGAGGCGACGGCGCCGCGAGCGAATTCTCGCGGCACCTCGCGGGGCGTCCGGGGAACAAACGAGACGGGGGCAGGCGAGAATCAGCGAGAATCGGCGCGATTTCGTAGCGCAGCGCAGCGACGGCCCTGGCCGGGGGTTGGTCTCTCTCTCTCTTCTATCCAAAGTGTCGTACATAATTCGCGGTAACGACGGCGGCAGCGGTGGCTTTTGTTTCTCACGCGAGTGGTGTGGCAGGCGCGAAGAGCGGAGCGGCGGCGTAACGTAGAGCGTTACGAGCCACCGGTAGACGTAGAAGAGGAGTAGGAGAGCGGAGCAAAAGAGAGAGAGAGAGAGAAAGAGTGAGAAGAGGGAAGGGGACGGACAGGGAGAGAGAGAAACAGCGTCGGGAAGCGCTGGCACGCGGTGTTGCGAAAAATGGCGAAGACGTTTCGGGTGACGGTCTCGACTCTGTCAAACAATGGACAGTCCACGCCGAAGTACAACAAACCGGTCGCGCTCAATATTAATTACGACCCGCAAGGCCTCAGCGTCGAGCTTGTCTCAGGTATGGACGCGACGATACCCGCTGTACGCGCGCCCAGCGGTGTCCGTCGTCGTACGACACGGCCGACGGCGACGCGGCTGATCTAATCGATCACGCGACCAACCGCGACCCGGACGACATAACCACACTTCCCGTCGTGTTACGCGACGAATTCTTTCCTCCTCCCAGCCCAATTCGTAGCTCCGGAAAACCTCCCGATCGATCGCCGGTCGATATCGCGACATCATCCTTCAACCAATTCGCGTCCTTCCCTTCTTCCCCAGTTTGTGTCTTTCTTTTTTTTTTTTCTTGTCTGTGTCTACACGCTTCTCGGCTGCTGTTGGAGCGGATTGTCTTCTCGTCATTTGTTATACTGCTGATACCAATAATGACGCTATGATGACAGCTCCAATCGAATTCTATTGTTTACGCGATATTGACGATTGTTGCATTGTATATCAGGAAAATTATCTTATTAGTGTTTATTAAGGAGGTAGAGGCATGACATTTATATATGTAGGAAGTTATTGATAATCATTGAAAATGTCGCTTTAAAAAGATCAGAGAATCATACATCGACTTGATCGTTTTTCGTGGCTGTTCTTTTTAACGTGCGATTATATGTTTTACTGCGTATTCTCTTTCTTTGATACGTATAATAAAATACGAGGAAGAGAATTGACGTTTTGAACATTTGTTTCAGATGTCAGCAGCAGGGAGAAAGCGACTCTACTGGAATTCCCAGTGACTCCCAGCACCGAATGCTCTCGTGTATCATCACGGAGTTATGTTTTTACACTCGATACAGATAGCTTACTGATTACATTTGCTAATGAACCAGGTGAGCCATCAACTTGTACTGCAATCTTCACGAATCCTCATGCATTAAGTTTGGAAGATCGTCTACAACAAGTGTGTGTGCGTGTACATATGATATAATAAGTTGGAAGAAATTGACCAATCACAATCGAATATGAGGAGAATAATCAATTATGATTGTTCAAAGTGTACAGCTTACTACTTACTATACAATATTACTATTATGTAATATTGTAATTACCATTATGTAATAGATATCAAAAACATGTATTTTTGTTTTAATGACTACATTTACATGGACACTCTTAATTGGGTTTAATAACGTCTGTAGTTATGAAACTGATTAATTACAGCTAATTTCCTCTGAAGAATAGAATGACTGATTGATCAGTTTCCAATTACGGATGTTAAACTCGTTTGAGGATGTTCATGTAAATGTAGTCAATATCTTCCATACGTCGATTCTGTAATTTTTAACGATAGTTCAATATCGTTATATTATTATTGCACAACTTTTTTACAATATGTAATATCTGTGCAATGACAATATACTGAATTGTCGTTAAGTTACAAAATAGAGAAGTATCTACAAGAAGTACTTTAACATATATATATTTTATTCACAGATTTTCGCGATTTTCACTCACACATAGTAAAACTCAAGATGGGAAAAGGAGTATCGGCATTTAATGAAAGAACGGAGGAATCCTCGGCGATGCAATATTTCCAATTTTATGGTTATCTTTCGCAGCAGCAAAACATGATGCAAGATTATATTAGGACCAGTACATACCAACGAGCGATTCTGGGGAATCTGTCTGATTTTAAGGATAAGGTTGTACTAGATGTAGGTGCTGGTTCTGGTATACTATCGTTTTTCGCTATACAAGCTGGTGCGAAAAAAGTATACGCAGTGGAAGCGAGCAATATGGCAAATCATGCTGAGCTTCTAGTTGCAGCTAATAATTTACAAGATAAAATAATAGTCATAGCTGGAAAAATAGAAGAGATCGATTTACCCGAACACGTAGACTGTATAGTGAGTGAGCCTATGGGATACATGTTATATAATGAACGAATGCTCGAAACTTATCTTCATGCGAAAAAGTGGTTAAGTCCAGGTAAATATTTTGAAAGAAAATTCAGGATTTACATGCTATTTTTTGTCTTGCTGCTGTTTTTTTTCCTTAATCAAATTATTTTTATATACAGGCGGAAGAATGTTTCCCTCCAGAGGTGATCTGCATATCGCACCTTTTTCCGATGAAAATCTTTATATGGAACAGTTCAATAAGGCCAACTTTTGGTATCAGACATGTTTCCACGGAGTAGATCTCTCTGCCATGAGAAATAACGCCATTAAAGAATATTTTAGACAACCGATTGTCGATACTTTTGATATTAGAATATGTATGGCGAAATCTGTGAGGCACATAGTAGACTTCCAAACAGCTGATGAGACTGATTTACATAAAATAGGTATGGAAGGAAAAAAATAAAAACTATTACGATTTATGAACGAGTTATAACGCGACACTAACATCCCATAAATTGTGTCCTTTTTTTAGAAATAAATGTCGATTTTCATATACTGGAGAGTGGTACATGCCATGGTTTAGCTTTTTGGTTCGACGTAGCGTTTATCGGATCAACACAACAAGTTTGGTTAAGTACTGCTCCTACAGAACCTCTCACACATTGGTATCAAGTACGCTGCCTCTTAGAAAACCCATTGTTTTGTAAAAGTGGGCAACTGCTGTCTGGAAAAGTCATTCTTACAGCAAATAAAAGGTGAGGAAATATTTGTATCTATCTCCACTGTCTCTAACTTGACACCATTTCATATTCCAATACTTTATTACAGATCTATTTCTCTACATTTATGTCATTCTCTTATATGTATACATAATATATTTGGTTTCAGACAATCCTATGATGTAACAATAGAACTGAAGCTTGAAGGAACAAATCTAGAAAGCAGTAACAATACCTTAGATTTGAAAAATCCTTACTTCCGATACACAGGCGCTGCAGCACAACCGCCTCCTGGTTTAAATAACACTTCACCTAGCGAATCCTATTGGACGACTCTAGATGCGCAGGGTGCTCGACAAGCAGTGAATATGGTCAATGGAATGTCGGTTAATGGTCTTGGCGAAGTGTCGATGGATACAAGCGCCACAGTAAATCCAAATAATTTGCTGGCAATAGGTAAGGTTTGGTTTGACTCTTCAGTGTATCATTATATGTATTAATTGTGCCGTGTGGAATATATAATATTTGTAATCAACGTTCTTGCCACATGCATCACGTCCTGGTGATTTTAATTCTCCGACGTCTAATTTTTGAAACGTATTTATGAAATCGTGTGTCACAAATATGTATGAAGGGTGTCCACATGATCGTTGAATAATTTCGGCCCACATTCTATGTATTCGCTATATGCAATATTTAAAACAAAATATCTAAATATAAAACATTTCCTCAATGATAACAAATGATCGTCTTTATAATCTGAGATATCCTAAATTCCAGTATTGCTCAAAATAAATATTTTTCCTTTCTACTGTTTTTGCAGTTTGTTATTTACCATAATGCATTTTACATACTGTATCATACAAGGATATTTATGTTTCTTCCAACGTATCAAAGTTTTATTATTTTACTGTTTAAAACCTTTTATTTTAACAGCTTTTTCCACGTAAACATAAAATAAAAAAAAATATTAGCATGAAATATGTTTCCAAAATTTTATATAGTACAAGAATGATTTGAAATTATTAGATATTCTTAGTGTAGAAAATTTGTCTTTGTATACACATATTGACATTGTGGATTAGAAATTACTGTAGTTAATAATAATTTATAACTGTATTAATAACAATTACATTGATGAAACATTTAGATTAAAGATATTGAATATTTTTAATTATTAGATGCTGACATTATTATAATTACAGATAAATTCTTTATTACGTAAATATCAAATTATTAAATTATTGCTGGACCTTTTTATTGTACTGGTACTTACGGAATGGACAATATTTTATTCTTCTACATCATGGAAGATATTTGTACAAAGAAGAAAAAGTTCCTTGATTGTTCTAATTTATACATATTTTGTAGAATCTGCATTTCATGTAAATAAATTTTATTGTTTTAGTATGGATTTATAAATATTTAACTATATTCTTTAAAATATCCCATATTAAAAAGTAAATATATTCTTCTCCTACCAATATTTAGATCTAAGTTATCATTCTATTATTTACTGTAACGGAATGATGATAAATTGATCAAATACTAGATTAAAAATCTCTTTTTTTATGATTATTCGCTAATAGTGATGAATATAATAATGTAGTTTATATATAAAATATCTTTTGATTAAATTATTTATAAAAACATTTCTCTACTTGTTTTGCATAATGTGTTGATGATTTTTATTATAATAATTGACTGTTTCAAAGATATTTCAACTATTTTTTAAATCATTTTTACTTTTAATAATCTTTATTCTCTCTCTCTCT